TTTTTTTTGCGATATGTGGGCCTCTCACTGTCGTGGCCTTTCCCGTTGCCGGACGCGCAAGCTCAGCGGCCATGGCTCACGGGCCCAGCCGCTCCGCGGCATGTGGGATCCTCCCAGCCCGGGGCACGAACCCGCGTCCCCTGCATCGGCAGGCGGACTCTCTACCACTGCGCCACCAGGGAGGCCCTAAATGGCCTTTTAATTGGGTTCTTTTTGTGAATTTTAAGTGGAAGTTTCTTAAATTCATCAGATAACAAGTGAAATCTTAAGTTTCAGCCATTTGCTCCCCACCACCACCAAACAATGTCCTGTTACTATAATTTTTATTTTTTTTAATTTTAAAATATTTATTTATTTATTTTTGGCTGCGTTGGGTCTTCGTTGCTGCGCATGAGCTTTCTCTAGTTGCAGCGAGCAGGGGCTACTCGTTGTGGTACGCGGGCTTCTCATTGCAGTGGCTTCTCTTGGTGCGGAGCGTGGGCTCTAGGCACACGGGCTCAGTAGTTGTGGCTCACGGGCTCGAGAGCGCAGGCTCAGCAGTTGTACCACACAGGCTTAGTTGCTCCGCGGCATGTGGCATCTTCCCGGACCAGGGCTCGAACCCGTGTCCCCTGCACTGGCAGGCAGATTCTTAACCACTGTGCCACCAGGCAAGTCCCTACTATAATTTTAAAATTTCAGTTTGCATGATATCAGAAAAACTGTAAAAATAGCCAAAGAATCCCATAAACACTTTTTCCAGATTCTCCAAATGTTGACATTTTACCATACTTGCTTTATTATTATTTTTTTCTGAATTCTTTGAGATAAGTTTTAGACATGATATTCTTTTTTACCTTTCTTCAATATTTCACTCCTCAAAACACAGATACTAATACATAGCCAGACTCTAATTACCAAAATTAAGAAATTAACATAGATACAATACTGTTATCTAGAGATTTTATTCAAATTATACCCATTATCCCACTCGTTTTTTAAAACAAAAGAAAAAATACCTTTAATAAAGGCATGATTGGAAAATATCATGTAATTCATACACATGTAGAAGACACTTATTTTGCATAAGAGCACTTGCTTTGGGACTGTTTTGGAGAGGGAAAGGATGCTACAGACATCGAGGCCAGTCCCTCATTTTATGAATAAGGAGTAAACGTGGAATCTGCAGCACCAGTGCTGGGTGAGACTCGAGTTCTCGCAGTTTATGTGTGCATGTTATATATTTTATGATTATAAGCATGGTGGAGAAACACCAGAATTTTAAATGCTACCACTGTGTGGTATGTTTTCAGATGAGGTATTAAATATTTTTATCTGTATCTAAAAAATATATTTTTAAAATAATCACGTGTTTTTAAAAAAAATTTCGTTTCTGAAAACAGTGTGAACATTACTATGAGATAAAGTGCAATCAGGGAAGTTGGTGATCTCCTGAGAGCACATATGGTGGCTCTGTAACTGGGATATCACGTCGGTGGTAACGTCACCTTCCAGGGCACAGGCCGGGTGAGCCTCCTGTTTAATGTCTTCCATTGTGTATATTTAAGGGCCCATGTATCAGGGGAGCACCCCACCCTCACCTGACAAATTTACCTACGTATCCATCCTCAGTTCCCTTTCATGTTTCTTAGAAGGAGCTGTCTCTTCACCCATTTAATCTGTCCACCTGTGTTCTCGAGCCCCTAGTCTTCCTTCTCAGAAGGACATTGCTTTATCAGTGATTCCATCAGTCTCCTGTGTGTTCAGTTCTTCACCTCTTCTGACCTTTTTCTCTGAGCCTGAAGAATGCTCGTCTGAAGCATCTTTTTGTACAGGAGGAATGCC